GCATCCTGACGTCATATATTCATTATCATCCACGAGTAATAGTTTCAAATAGTGCCTAATTTCCTCCTGAATGAGAACTTTCACGAAAGGAAATAATTCGAAATAAATAAACAAGCGTTTCTGACGTTCGTTATCCAACGTAACAAAGACACAATTCTTGCAAACATCAGCCCTGCCTTCTCGTATCCTCATATTGTGATTTATATCGCAACGTCGCTGACGTCACGCTGGAGTTTTCATTATCCTGAGTGATAGTCTCAGGGACAGGTTACAAATTCTACGTACACGCTCGAAGAAATCAAAGTAGCAAGCTCGATGTTGTGTCTGGTCGAGGAAGAACACCGCCTTCCGGCTTGATACTCGACGCGGCCACTTAACGCATCAGCGTTAATTTGTTAGCTTGACTGTTAGTTAGGTTCGGTTAGCGTGCCTGCCGTGCGTATTTAACGTACACGCATTAAACACACTCGTGGTGATGAACGTCCGGCATTCGTTTTCGGTATAATTGCTGGAGTAACATCTCTTTGCTTTCCCTCCTTTTCCGCGAGCGTCGCGTCTCGCGTGTTTCCCCGGCTTTTCATCTTATCTCGTGCTCCGACAGGGAAATCTACTGGCTGAAAAATATCTTCCTTGCTTGGACAACGAAACGAATCGTCTTGCTGCTTACTTGCTGTGTTTCGCGAACGCTTGTCTCAAATAAAACAGTGTTTTATTTCGAAGATCGGACATATGAAGCGACATATTTTTATTTTTAAGTTTTATTTATCCAATCTCTGCTTGTCTTATTAAATGAGGGATCTACTGAGAATATCCCTAATTTTTATCCTCGCTTGGACGAAACGTCATTTCATTGTTAATTTATGAATTTTATTTTGAATTTTATTTTATCGGACGACATATTTTTATTTTCAACTGCCATTCATCGAATTTCTGCACGGACAAGAGACAGCTGAGAGTATCTTTCTTTTACTGATTTTTGTCCTTGCTTGAACAACAAAATGTTGCTGTGTTTCGTGAATTTTATTTTGAAAAAAAGGTAACATACATTTGTTTTTAATTTCCATTTATCTAACCCGAAGATTGTCGCGTTTAATTGTAGCGTTCCCGTAAAGAAAAGTGTATCGTAAATACGTTTCATTGTTTCAAAGAAAGCGAGAGAGAGAGAGAGAGAGAGAATTTAAGTACGCGTGTGTACAGGTAATCGTAAAATATGGCATGTGATACGAGGTAACGGTATTCGTGCTTTATGGGATTCGCGATGTAGATGGCTAAAGGTTGCCAGATGATTTATCTGGTTTCGGGATCTTCGCGCTCGTAATCATCCGTCCCCCGGGCCATACTACTACTCCAGTGCTATCTTTTCAATATCCGAAAGAAAAAAAAGTTCCGATACTCGGACTCTGCTTAAACTCGGCAATGGAGAGCGCACTGGGAACTGTCGTGCCAACGATCCACGGTGCCGATAGCAAGGAGAACACGGGCCAATAACGTCGTTAGTTAGACCGGCCAAGCTGGTAAAATCTCAACTTGAATTATATACTCAAGATCGTACTGCGAGAATTCCAGTCTTCTACTTTTAACCTCTCGCGCTGGAATGACGTGCCACGCACGTCAAGAATTTTTTGTCCCAAAATTGCAATATTTTCCTTCAGTTTTAAATATACTTAAGCGAAACAAAATAGGCAAAAATAATGAATTTATCAATAATATAATAATTTATATTAATAAATATATTATATAATATTTAATATATTTATATTAATATATAACACAATATGTTATAATATGTTTAATAATATATAATATTTACATTAATAATATGATAATTTACTTCGCAGTAATTTCTATCCAGCGATATCGTACCGACGAGTTCAAAAAGAAAGCGACGAACTGTTGTATACGGTCACTCGTTATGGTCCGCAATTTAGTTGCCAGCGCAAATGATTAACCTCTTACGTTGGAACAACGTGTC